ATAATACTTTTAATACTTTGCTACAATATTAAAAAGAGGGGTGCTTAGGTGTTTAAAATGTAAAATGTGCTCTAAATAGTATTACATAGAGCCTTCATAACAAACATATTTAAAATAAACCAATTAAAATATAATAATGCTGTAAAAAAAGACTTTGCTACAATAATATTGTGGCGAAGAAATATTTTATTATTTAATTTAATATTATTCAATGAAAATATTCAACAGATTATAAAAATATATCACTCTGTATTTGTGAAATCATCTTTAAAATATTTCTTTGCTTGCCTGCTTAAGATTCCCTAGCTGTAGATAGTTTGGCTGACCTGTTAATAATTGTCGACTCGTCGCTGTGACGTCATCAATACATACTTTTACATCTTAGGATATTTCAAGGCTTGATTTCTACGCTACAACTGGTGGAGAGACTGGACCGATACCCATTAAGAAATAAAAGAAAAATTGATTCTGTTGAACCAGAAGAAACTTCTATGAATGTAAAGAAGGAAGGTACTCGGGTAAGCAACTACGTTGTTCAACATTTGCCAAGGAACCCTTCCATTTTCTCCGGGGAGGATGGTGAAGATCTTCAAAAATGGTTAAAAGGGTATGCACGTGTGGCAAGGTACAACCATTGGGACGAAACCCTTTGTCTTACTAAAGTTTATTTTTATCTATCTGGAACTGCTCTCAAATGGTTTGAGAACAACGAAGAAAGCATACAGACACTTGGAAGGAATTCACATCTCAATTAGAGAATGTGTTCGAAAAAAAAGAAAATTCAAAATTGCAAGCGGAGAAGAAACTTAAAACACGGGCACAATTAAAAGGTGAAAGTACTGAGTGTTACATCCAGGATCTCCTGTGCTTGTGCAAAGAGGTTGATCCTCAAATGAGTGAGGAAGATAAAATCTCCCACCTCATGAAGGGGATAGCTGAGGAGCTTTATCAAGCACTCCTACCGAGGGATGTACAGAGCACCGAGAAATTCATTACAGAATGTCGCCGTGTCGAAGCGCTCCGTTGTAGGCGAGTTACCCCAACCAGGTACGAGCGCCTACCAAATGTAGCCTCTCTTTGTGACCAGGATGACGGAGAAGATCTGTCATCTATGATTAGGCAAATTGTTCGTGAAGAGGTACAGCGGGCATTAGGCTCTCCTCGGGAGGACCCAAAAAATGCTACAATCGAAGAAATTGTAAAGGAGGAGATTGGAAGAACCCTGGCGCCAATCTCAAAGTTTAGGAGAAGTCCCCCTCAGAAGGAAAAACCCCGACAGTTTTTAAATACCAGATATGAGGCCGAAACGATAAGACCGCACCCTGAACCTCGATACCCAAAACAAGGAGGAAGACGCGACACCAATGATTGGCGTACAACTGAGGGAAGGCCAATCTGTTTCTACTGCGGACGCCCAGGTCACGTCGTCCGCTATTGCCGTGACAGGAAGAGACACAATGAGGAAAGGAGAAATGACTATTTCCAAAGAAAGCAAGACGCAATGGTATCCTACAACTCTCGATCTGAATCTCAGGACCCCAATAACGAATCATCGAGGAAAACTTTCACTCGCTACCGAAGCCCTACTTCATATCGCGGTCGAAGCAGACAACATTTCTCACCTGCTAGAAGATCTAGCTGGACGCCCCGCCATTAAAACTAGATGATAGACAGCATTGGAGGCGAGGCCGCAAAGTTATAAAATCCACCCTTACCGACCACAGTAGAAATGAGAAAAAGCTACCTTGACGTAAACATAGACCTACCAAGTCCTCATGAAGAAGATATCTCAACTGAAAGAAGACATCCACCGCAGTCACCTGAAAATATCCCTGGCCATAGTATTAGTTCTTAAGACTGACGACGTAAGTCTCCTGCTGAGCATCGGGTCGATGCTCTTTATAGTAGGAGGCTATGTGGCGAAGAAATATTTTATTATTTAATTTAATATTATTCAATGAAAATATTCAACAGATTATAAAAATATATCACTCTGTATTTGTGAAATCATCTTTAAAATATTTCTTTGCTTGCCTGCTTAAGATTCCCTAGCTGTAGATAGTTTGGCTGACCTGTTAATAATTGTCGACTCGTCGCTGTGACGTCATCAATAAATACTTTTACATCTTAGGATATTTCAAGGCTTGATTTCTACGCTACAATATAAAAGAAATGAAAATAAAAAAAGACACCGACGCTGAGCCTCGAACCTAGGTTTGTTATAAATATTATTTAAAAATTGTTTATCTTAATTTTTATTTTAAAAAGCCTACATTTTAAATAGAATAATATTTTTAATAATTTGCTACAATAATATAAAAGAAATGAAAAAAAAACACCCACGCTGAGCCTCGAACCTAGGTTGTGGGGGTACGAAGCTGTGTACCTAACCTATAGGCTAAGCTTGACGTTACAAATACGCTCATGCGAGGCTATTTCAGGCCATACGCCTGCCGCGAGGGGGCGCTGATTGCGAGTGAATTTACGTTTTATTGTAAATAAAAATGCAACGAAAGGTTATTTCTAAAGAGTAATTAGCCAGAAACCATCCCGGTAGTATACGAAACAACTTCCCAAAGTTTCATCACGATCGGTTATATTTATATATATATCTATATATATAAAAATGAATGTTTGTTGGTCCGTCCGTAAGTGATAATCTTCTACATCGCTCAACCGATCGTGATGAAACTTTGGGAAGTTGTTTAGTATACTACCGGGATGGTTTCTGGCTAATTACTCTTTAGAAATAACCTTTCGTTGCATTTTTATTTACAATAAAACGTAAATTCACTCGCAATCAGCGCCCCCTCGCGGCAGGCGTATTGGCCTGAAATAGCCTCGCATGAGCGTATTTGTAACGTCAAGCTTAGCCTATAGGTTAGGTACACAGCTTCGTACCCCCACAACCTAGGTTCGAGGCTCAGCGTGGGTGTTTTTTTTTTCATTTCTTTTATATTATTGTAGCAAATTATTAAAAATATTATTTTATTTAAAATGTAGGCTTTTTAAAATAAAAATTAACATAAACAATTTTTAAATAATATTTATAACAAACCTAGGTTCGAGGCTCAGCGTGGGTGTCTTTTTTTATTTTCATTTCTTTTATATTATTGTAGCAAAGTCTTTTTTTACAGCATTATTATATTTTAATTGGTTTATTTTAAATATGTTTGTTATGAAGGCTCTATGTAATACTATTTAGAGCACATTTTACATTTTAAACACCTAAGCACCCCTCTTTTTAATATTGTAGCAAAGTATTAAAAGTATTATTTTATTTTAGATGTTTGCCATGAAACTTTGGGAAGTTGTTTAGTATACTACCGGGACGATTTCTGGCGAATTATTTTAAAATAATATTTATAACAATAATTATAGCAAATTTTAAGACATTTTTAAATTCTGTGTTTGTGGATATATAAATATTTTACAAAAATTGTGAGAACGTTCTATTAGAATATCTCAAAAACAAAAAACAATACATATAAACAAGTTCACTGACATTTATTAATGCAGTGATTATAAAGGGCTATATTATCTATATATATAAAGATCACTTTCAAATTTTAACGTAACGTTCCATTCTCAATCCCGTAGGGCTTTAGATCGGCTAAAACATTTTTATCTTTATAAGTGAATATTAACTTTACTGTACTGAATAGTTTAGTATAATATTAATTTAACATATTACAACTTAGCCACAGCAACGTGTGGCCGGGTTCGCTAGTATAGATATATATTTTACCCTGGTATATTATTTTTGCTTTTTTCGACCTATCACAGAAGGTGATCTGATGAAGATTTATTTTTATATTTTTTTGTTATGATTTGGTCACCTAGGGAGAGGATAGGGGTCAGTTCGAAAGCAGCCACCAGAAAAACTGGGGGCCTTGGCCATGGCCTCCCCTCAAGGGAAGGAACTGGTAAATGTAAATAAATTTGTTTCTTTAATCTTTAATAGGGATTTAAAGGTTCAAATTTTTTAATAGATTCATTTTGAGACAATATATACCTAGGCCAACATCATTTTTTTATATGAATATTAAAAGTGTGTGTAGGAAAATCATCATTGGATACAAAAATAAATATTTATAGTCTATATATTATCAATTGTCTTTCTTCCTTCCTTTTTTTTTTATTTGTTGTCCATTTGGTTTCTTTTAATATATATAAATAAACAAGATATATGTGTATATGTATGTAGAAAATTTAAATATGGTTAGTAATTTGAGTAGCCCATTTCTTTATACTAGAATATTTATTTTATAAACAAATATAAATATATTTATACATGTACTAGCCGAATGACTGGGGAGGGGGGGCAACGCCTGGGTTTTACCCGATTAAATGTTTTTATTCAAATACTTTTCATTACAATTATAAATTGGAGCAGTGGATGTCACTCTTGTGAAACGCCCCGCTCCAAACTTTACATGTACATTAGGTCAGTTGGTATTACCCCCATTTTCACCGCTAGAGGCGCGAGCGAAAGAGCAAATTTGCAAATAACAAGACGGATATTCGGGATAGAGACCTGAAATTTTCACTAAGAGTTTTTCCAGATTCTACTTTATATACTGTTAAAATTTCAGTCAGATTAGTTACGTATTGTGGACGTGTATAGTTGACAAACATACATACATACATACGCTGACTTTTATATATATATAGGGATAATAATATAAATGAGTTTTAAAAATTGTAAAAAAAAATGCATCGGCCGGGAATCGAACCCGGGCCGCCCGCGTGGCAGGCGAGCATTCTACCACTGAACCACCGATGCTTATAAGAAATGGCCCTATTTGGGTATTTATACTATTCACAAAAGCAAACGATGACAGAATTGTTGATGACTCTGATACTTGTATTTATAATCATGTTAGCATAATGAATTAGTCAGTATTTCCTTGATCTCCAGCGAAGAGGTGTGAATTGACTTTTTGAAACTATACATAATTATAAAAAGATAGAAGCTTCTATAGAAATAGCTAAAATAAGCCGAAATATCTCACTTGGGAGAGCGTTAGACTGAAGATCTAAAGGTCCCTGGTTGATCCCGGGTTTCGGCATCTTTTTTTAATTTTTAAATTTTTACTTACCATAACTTGACACGTGACTTAACGTGACAGAATTGTGCATGACGCTGATAACTGTATGCGACAGTTGAGCTAGCCTCAGGCCTTTTATCTGAAAATTTAAGATCTTCATATGTTGAGTTTATAAAAACTTTGGCCAGAAATCCAAAACCCTACATTGGGAAATATTTGCCAATTTTTAATTGACGTTCTGATATAAATTGTTGAAGCAGAATCTAGATGACTTGCCTGAGGTGTTGGACAGACTTAGGAAATATGGGCTTCAAGTGAGGCCCAGCAAATGCTAGTTCTTTCAGGAAGGAGTGGACAAGGATGTAATTTTTCCTAAGGGGAACAACATTGTAACATTTATATGGCAGGATGTTATCACAGTTGAAGAACGGCATTCCACAGCCTTTTAGTTTCTGCAGCTATAAGTTCAGAGGTGCCTAGATAAACTACGCTACAGCATATGCTGTAGCACATAGAAAGGGAATGCCTGGCTATCAATCTGTCAAAAGTTACAGAAACAACCTCAAGTTAATCTAATTTCTGGGCGAAACGAACTCCGAGATAGTTTAGATGTTCTGAGAACCAAAAATGATATATTCTATATAGATCAATCTCGTCCATATTTCAATCAATAAAATTATTGCTGATGATTAGGCCAAAATACAGCCTTCGACATGCTGAATAGGGTCAACAGCCCGAAACGCGTTCGTAGTTGGCTTTTCTTGATTCATCAAGAAAATGGGTTGGCCATATTATGGAATAAGCTTAAATCAACGTTTAGTTTATATTTATTTCGCTAGATTTTTCATACTTGTTTAAATTTGGAATTTTATTTCATTATATATATATATTCGCAAAAATATTTCTATATTTTAATAAATTCTTCGTATTTTGTAACAACCTATTTAAATTTTGTATAGACTACTTTAAATTTTGTTTTGATATATACAGTGTAATATAAATATTAAATATTTATTATAATTTGACCAAACCTTATAGTTGTTTTTAAAAATTTACAAGTTGTCAAATTGTTAATAGGAGGCCTTCGAGCCCGGAAAAGAGCGATTATAGTTATTGATTATTTCTTAGAATACATAAATATATATAATACTTTATGGAAGCAATGATAAGCTATATTTATTTAAACATAATAGCCCAATTGTGGCTTTTGATCTCGGTAGTCGTTACTGTTTGGGGCATATTAACAATTTACTACCCCACTTTTACGCCATCAATTTTGGCCAACCTTTTTAAATATGGTAAAGCAAGCGAATCGTCAAATATAGATAGATTATCTAACTTCATACAAGTTCCAAAGAAATGGTTTTCACATTTTTATATATTTGCAAGTGTTTATTTCACCTACTTGGCATATTGTTTGTGGGATGTATACTGTCAAAAAAATAATCCAAACTCCTTATTTTTACTCATTTTAAATAAAACTAATTATGGATTAAGAACTGCTAATGTTTCCCCAGAGACAACTGCAATTGCTTTTATACTTATCTACATTCAGGTCATTCGAAGGTGCATTGAATGCTGCTGGGTCAGTGTATATTCCAAAACAAAAATTAATATAATACACTACTTAATTGGCTTTGGTTTTTATTTATTAACAGGTCTTTCACTATTTACTGAAGCGCCAGGATTTTTAAACAAACCAGAGCCAGTGGTTTGGACCAGGTCATGGATCACAGCATCCCATATTCTTGGAATACTCATTTTTCTCTATGCCTTCTACCTCCAGTACTCAACCAATGTAATTTTTGCCAACTTGAGGAAGAACAAGAAGGGCAAGGTGGTGACATTGAAGCACTCCATACCAAAGGGAGGGTTGTTTGAGTATGTCTCCTGCCCTCATTATCTGGCAGAGGTGCTCCTCTATGTGGCTGTGGGTGTGGTGTATGGCGGGGCCAGCGCCATCTGGTGGTTCGTGGTGCTGTGGGTGGTGGCCAACCAATCCATGACGGCCCTCATGACCCACCAATGGTACCTCCACACCTACCCCAGCTACCCCCCACAGAGAAGAGCCATCGTCCCCTTCCTCCTGTGAACACAACTACCTACTTGTGTTTCTAACATTATAACTCAGGGTTTATTGAATTAAATTTGTTTATTTTTCTAACTTTCTTATCTTCGTTTGACCATACATTCAATGTTTCTTTGGGTCTGCCAAATGGATATTCACAAAGCAAGATCTTTAAACACACATTTTATTTATATCAATAATTCTCAACCTGCAAACCCCAAACCATATCATTAACTGTATTGGCTCATCTATTAGTCAGCTCTACTCATCCCCAGAAGACACCATCAAAAGTCTCAAGCTCTACAGGTTTGATACTCTAATTTGATTGAGTGGAGATAAAGAAGACGAAAAATATTTATACCAATTGCTCATGACATCTCTATATATATAAAAGTCAAAGTATGTCTGTCTGTTTCGCGATAAACTCAAAAACTACTGAACCAATTGGTACCAAATTTTGCATGTCGCTTTTTATAAACCTGAGGAAAATTTTCGGCTACATTTTGATTAGTATTTTTGGCTATTTATTTTTTTCATTTGAAGAACTTTTTTTTTGCGCAGAGTAATCCGGAATGGAATGAATACCCAAATATGGCCATTTTTTTAAGCATCGGTGGTTCAGTGGTAGAATGCTCGCCTGCCACGCGGGCGGCCCGGGTTCGATTCCCGGCCGATGCATTTTTTTTTTTACAATTTTAAAACTATATATAATATAAATATATATTATTATATCAACTATATTAATTAAATCAAATACCTAAACACTAATATAATACAATTTTTGCCATCACACACACTTTTTCCCTGTAGTTTATGTGTTACTTCTGTATTGCTATTCTATGGCACTTCTAATATTTATTATTGATGTACTTTCAGTATGAAGGAAATTGCAATCGGGGGAATTCTCGGGCGAAGCCGGGTCATACGTCTAGTAGGCTATAAAATTCATGGTGGATAATAAGTGGTGTCTTTCATTGAACCTGCCAACAAGTTCAACTTTGCACTTCACAATGTTCTAGAGTCTTGTTTAGTTACCTTCACTTGCTTGGAAAGATGACTCTTGCAAGTTGGGAACTATTGATAAACTATTTGTACAGTGAAACCTTGTTAAAAAATTCAACACCATTTCTCAAATCATTCAACCATTTCTTAAATAAAATTAGATATAATGTTTAAATATAATTTTATTATAAAAATGAAATATTTCAGCATGCGGGGCACTGAAACCGTAGTTTGCGCTTAAAAGTGTTGCAAAGAGGCATTGCAAAAGATGGTGCAAAACATCACCTACAATGTCTCACATTATTATTATTTTCCAGTAAATGATTTATTTGAGTTGTTAACCTAAGTGACCCCCAGTTACCAATGTGAACAATGAAGGTGTCTTAGTAACGTTGTGCTGTCTGAAATTAAACTTGCAGACAAGAAAAGACAATGGTGAACTATACTATATGGAATAGGGGTACAAAAAAAAAATCCATATTTACTTTTTCATTTTCTCAAATGTTTTGCCTCCCACCTTGTAGACTTAAAAAAAAAAAATTTTTTTTTTTTTAGAACTCTTATCTAAAGAATAATTCTCCAGAAGAAAGATAAGCAATTTTTGCAAGAAATTTTACTAATATAGTTAAAAACTATGAAAAAAAATAAAAATTGCATGGAAATCATTCAACCCTATTTCTTAATACATTAACAGACATAAGTGTTTTAAAATATGAAAGTTAAAAAAAGTGAAAAGTCTATATTTCGATTATAGATTAGTACTACAAGGTAACAAGATCAAATCCAAATAATTTAATAGAGTGTGATGTTTCTGTAACAATATTGTCACACACTATTTATTTATTTGGATTTGGTCTTATTACCTGGTAGTTCAATCTATAATCCAAATTTTACCTTATCATTAATAGAGTGATAAGATTTGAATAATAATTCCTTGAATCAATATTAAAACACAAATTTTAAGTTTGTATTTTAATAAGATAGATAATTTATGAGAGGAGTAGAGTATTTCTGTACACTATAACTGCTAGGAGTTCATCACATACCAACATCTGTATATAGAAGGCTGTTCTACTTTTCACTTTAAATTTTTCAAAAAACCTAATTTATTGCCACGTTGGATGCTTTTATTCCAATAAATATAGTACACATAGTAGAAGTAACTCCGCCTTTGCCGGTCTCAAGCCCGGATGAAAAAGGAGGAGGGGGAGCAGTAACAAGCTCGCTAAAAAACCTGGGCTCAGCTGGCCCGGCTGATAGTACCCTGTAAGGGCTCCTGATCCAGGGATACAGGATGAGCAGCGTTTGTACTCCAGTTAGGAGCAGCTGCACATGGCGTCTGTTCCTCATGTTAGAGGCGGCCATTTATTTTGGAGCTAAGTCGGCCTGCCACTGAGTAGTGCTCCCAGTCTTAATGACAAAGGCAGACGCATTTTACTTTACCCTTTTCACATGACTGGTACAGAGCAGGAGGGACAAGCACCGGTTCTGTCCTCCCAAGAGAACAACAGTCTTTGATTTCCAGACTTAAGTCTGGTCATTTACGGACAATGACTTTCCAGAATGGTTGCAAGGTTTTCCCACTATGTACTAAGTGCAATTCTCAGCCTGCAACCCCAAGACATATTATTGACTGTATTGACTCATCCATTGATGAGCTCTACTCTTCCCCGGCAGACACCATAAAAAATCTCAAGCTTTACAAGCTTGATACCTTAGTGTGATTGAGTGGAGATAAGAAAGAAGACATAGTAGAAGTCTTGAAAATCATGGTTACACTCTAAGGCAGTGATTCTCAACCTTTTTTTTGTTGCGGCATTATTTTAAAGATTTGAAAATTTGGCGGCACAATTTTAGAATTTCGCGGCACACTTTTGCTAACTTGAATGCACGAAAATTCAAATTATGTATCCATATTTCTATGCAAAATATAAGTAATATACATCTCTAA